TGTCCCGTACAAGAGACGTAGCGACCTCGTTAAGTCTTATTGGGCTCGATTTGCTCGATTCGGGGCCGCCATGTTGAGATGCAAGCGACGGAGGAACTTTGCTCCCCTGCTTCAGGGACGAAAGTTTCTCCCTTTCTAAAGGAACATAGGTTACAAGACCGTTCCTCCCCTAAGGGAGGACTATCCATACCCTTTTTTCTAAGGGTGTGGGTGACGAGCCTCTTGTCCCAGTCTCACAAGTTTTCAATTTTTTGGAAGAAATTAATATTCTGCGGAAATTATAAGTCTAGTTCCTAGTAAGGTCCGCTTTGAGGCTTTAGTTAGTCCTTAAAGAATGTAGGCTTCCTTTACACAATGTTTCTGGCGCACTATGGCCCCGATGCTGCTGCGCGAAAAAAACCCCAAAACCACCCATCCCGTTGCATTTTATTTCCTGTATTTACATACTCTTCTAAAAAGTGTATTTGGATTTGTAAATAAATACTTTTTTATCAAATATTGTGCATTTCTATGTTGATACATTTTTTAAAGTATTTTACCATTCCCTCGTATCTACCCAGTGACTCCCTCCAATCAAAGCCAGAAAGATCGTCATCTGCTCCTGGCGCAGACGGAGCGGTGGCGTCAGGGTGAGGCGTTCAGACGACGAGTGCTGGCGTCGTCTGGTAGTCCTAGCAATGGCAGTCTTACCTTCTTTATAGCTTTGGCAACTCCATTGGTTCTTCACGGACGAGGATATACCTCGAAAGGTACGTGGATCTTCTTGACTAAATATAACCCGCATGGCGCATTTTGGCACCCGTTTCGCGCGAGTCAGTATCGGGGCGGTTCTAGATGAGCGCGCTCATCATCGCCAACGCGCCTAATTATAGCCAAGAAAAAATAACCCGCGCGCATGGTTTGCCGTTACAGGTTATCTTCCAAGGACATATAAATACTCCCAAACCTGGCATGACCTCAAGCTCAGCAACGCAGTAAAAAGAACTCAATCTACCCAGACTGCCTTGCGCACCGAGGCTGGTCTCATCGTCTGCTCGCCACTCGGTCGGCTACGTTAGGCTTGAGCTACGTCTGCTTCCTTCCTGTGGTCTGCTTCGTCTGCTCGCTGTCGCGGCTGACTTTCGATGCGATCGGCGCACCCAAAGAAGTTACAATGCGCACTCGCAATCACAACACGATAGTAGGCAACGCACGAGTGCGGGTAGTATAGCTTCTGCGGCATTCCCAACCTTCCCAACCCGGTGTCATTCTCACTCAGTGTAAAGACCCGTTCACACATTTGCAATTCTTTAGAACCGAGCGCCTTAAATACTCTTAAAATCTCTGACGGCGGGAGAACTGACACCCTGGCGCCAAGTGTGCGATGACCCTGTAACTGCATTTCACTAGAGAGAAGGTTTAGCGGTATTTGAGGGGTCAAATGTACGTACTACCTATGAGAAATGTTCGTCTCTAACATTGACAAAAAATTTTCAGGCCAAGAAAAATATAATGATGCGCGAAAGAAGTATTCCACTGCTACCCGGTAGGTGGTGCCAGTGTGTCCTCTTCTCATAAGAGATTTTAAAAGGAACTCGCTTTTAACACGTCGCAAGTGTGTGTACGGCCCTCTAGTGCGCACAACGCCCTAGAGGCTTTCCAAATCTGTGCTACGATAACTCCAAATCTGTGCTACGATAACTCGCTCGATGGACGACGCTCCCGGCACGGTGCATAGAGCGTCCGCCACACGCCAACCTCTTGCTGGCCGGGCAAGTGGTGGGCACCGAACCTCACCTGTTCACCACCGTTTTGGTGGACGCCGCATTGTAAGGGGCGAACAACCGCGTTGCCACAGCAATGCCACGGTAACGCGGTTGCTGGACCCATCTTTACATTGCAACGCTCACTAACTGAGTTTTCTACTGGCCGAGAGAACAAGGGGACATTTCGTGGTCACACCTACTTCCGTTCGTCTTCGCCCCGCGTATAGAGGATACGGACGGCACCTCCTGCCCATTATAACCTCCTTGGTACTGTCCTTGCGGATAAGAGCCGGGTGAACGATCACGTGATTTCAGCACGTCGGCTTTCGGCATGCCTTTTCGTACACCTAAATTTTAGTACCACTGGTGTACCTTAGAGACAGCTCCTATCTAAACATAAAACTCTTGTCGGCTTTATGGTACGCGAGTCAATTCGAAGCCTTTATGCATCCGATTATAAATTGCTTTAACATAGGGTGTTCCCAGCCACCAGGCTTAATCAAAATTGGACTGTAAAAATCGACGCCTGGACGTAGCAATCTAAAATTTTCGTTTAGATTGCTAGAAAGGGTAGCTCCCTTTCTGTAAAAGAATATGGCCAAGAAACTTTCCGGGGTCAAAGGCTGGCAGCGACGCAGACGACCAAGCCGAGGTGCGGGTGCGTTTGGCTCGCGTATTGATAGATGGCGTCGGGAGCAGCGTCCGAAGGTGTAGCCGACCAGCGAAAGAAAGCGGACGACACGCAGATGAAATCCATTCGCGAAAAGCGCCGTTGTTATGCAAAAGCGTTTTTTTTTTAACTTTAGGCTTTTGATTTTATTGTTTGCGTTTATTTTTAAATCAAACGTAGGTTGCAAAAAGATTGTTCCTTTTAATAAACCACAGTAGTCGCGTGCTGTCTCGATAAAGACGTAGATCTAGCTATCATTACTAGCGCCAAACGCACCCCGCAATTCGACTTGGTCGCCCGTTCGCGGCCCGCCGTTGATATACCAGATGTGTTCCAACAAACAAGCAAAACCCACGGCCGAGTCGTTGTCTCCTTTGAACCGAGAAGTAGCTTCCTAGCCTACGTGATCGCTCTCTTTTCACACGTCACCTCCTCCTCTCCTCCGCTTGCGCCGCGTGTATTTTGCGGGTTAGAAGCAGCTTGCGTGCTCTTCATGTGGAAGACTATGCCGTCACATGCCCCAGCTTATTTTTTCACCGGAACAACAGAGTGGTCCCAAGACTCAAAACCAGAACAGGAAGAGCAATATGGGAAGCTTTTATTGGTTGCATGGTAATGTATGTTGAATAACATGTTCCCACAGTGTACATGGGATGGGCAAGAGATCCTCCGAACGGCATGAATGCCATCGCTGGCGGCACTCGCGGGCTCCAAAGCAAGCTGGCATTCAAAATTGCGGCGGGGGAAAAGGCAAGCGTGAAGAAGGCACGGGGCAGGGCGGACAAAAAAATGCCGCGCACAATTCGGCAAGAGTTGCTCCCGGAACTGGGAAGAAGTGTCAGCCCCCGAGAATTAAAAAAAGGAGCGCGGGCCAAGATCGCGCGCGCTCCGTACAAATATGGCACTGGGAGGGGCTGACGCGCAGCGGGGCCTCGGAGCCACAGCCGTAGGGGAGGATGGCGAACGTGTCCGCAAGGCACGAGAGGGATGACAAACAAAAAAATAATGGAATGTTTTGAAATCACTTGAGCAACACGAGGACACGACGGCGTGGCGACCGCGAAGCCGCCGTCGGGATGGAGCAAGAAAGGAATTTCCCGTGGCAAAAAAAGAGCTCGAGAGTTGAGTAATACTTGTGGTGGCCCTTTTTTTTTACCGGAAAACGCGAGTTGACACTCCTTCTATCACAGGTAGCAGGGGGGCTACGGCCGCTCGTGGACCCCGTCCCGCTCGTGCACTTAAAAAAAAAGGGGGGGGGGGGGGGGGGGGCGCCCTTTGGGGGAGCTCGCCGCGATGAGCGAATGGGGGCGGCGGCGATCCCGGAGGGGGCCAGGGCGGCCTCTCCGCGAGTATACCCCGGGCTGCGTTGGCGGGGTCCTAGCTCCGGAGCGGCTGCGTATTGCACTTTTGTATTTTGTGACTGACGGGCCCCGGCGGCGCATTCGGAAATGTTCGTGGAGTAAGGAAATGGTCAATTTAGGCACCCCTATGGGCACGCTTTCACGGACGTCGCATCGCCTTGTTTATGGGGGTGGAGAAAGGATGCGTGCTCACTTAAAGGCCGACCGACCAGACTCGAGAATCTGCAAGACAGAAGATCCTCCTCACCATGGGAGAGGAGGAAATAGTCAACTGTGGACAGGGTAGGGGGGGAGAGACGAGGAAGCGAGGGAAAAGTGGAATGCTCGAACTGGTCGTCGGTCTTTAAGCCCGCGGCTCAGGCAAATACGTCTCAGGGATACACGCGCTAGCTTTTAGCCTGCCCCAAGGTTTTCTTAGGTGTATCGGAGAAGCAAATCTGGCCGCCGGTTAAAGACTAGCGCGTGAATCACTGAGGGGTACTTACCTAAGCCTAGGGACCCTTTCCTCTATCTCTACACAAAAAGCGAGGCGACTTGACGTTCATAAAAACGCATCAATCAGAGTTTCGAAACTTGGCCTTCTGACTTTCTCCGCAAGCTTTGGCGAATTCGCGCCCCGGCGTGTCCGTTGGCGCGGGGGTGGATGCCGGGTCGCCAGGGACGGTGCTTTAGCGGTGCTAGGAAACAAGCGCGCCGCTGTGTTCGCAGTGCATCGCAAGCTGATGGCGTGGGGCGGGGTGTATATAGATAGCATCTGCATATAAAACTGTGAACAACGAAATGAGAGACGCAGGAGAAAAAAAAATATCCGTAGAGACTAAAAACATGAACGAGAGGGCTAATGAGGAGAATTATGGTTTTGGCTCGAGAGTTGTGTATAAAATATATAAAAGGAGGGGGGAGCGAGAGGCAACGTCGAAAAACGAGGAACGAGGAAACGCGGGTGTGGTTGCACTGCGGCGGAGGTGTGGTTCGCGGAGTAGTCCGCGCATTGTCGAGGCCCTTCCAAAACAAAAAATGGCGTGCGCGGCAACCGCGCTGAGCGAATACCGGGGTGGGGGCCTCCGATGGAATAAATTAGGGAGTATTTGGGCAGTCTCATCTTTTGGCAAACGGACGAGAGCGCCTCGCGATGGCCGCTCCTCGGACCACGGGGCGGGGTTCTGGAGATCCCCAAGGAGCATATACACAGAAGGGGAGCTATGTACAGGGGCTCGCTGGCCATCACAGTTCGACGAGGGTGACGTCGACGGCGTCCTCTGTGGGCAGCAGCTCGAGCAGGAAGGTGTCCTCGTTGCAGTAGTGCTTCACCATGTCGTCGTCCATCCGCACCGTCACGCTGGGCACGAGAGAAGAGGCGACAGTCAGTTCTCGGCTTCTGGGCAGGCCCCGTTCCACCGACAGCCGTCGGGGCCGAGCAGCGAGGGACTGGAGGATAGATACCTTCGAGATAGCAAGGCCAAATCCGCCCACAGCCCGCTCCACGTCAAGTCCGATCCCAGCTTATCCTATGACCCGAGGGAGCAGATCAAGAGGCGCCAAAGAAGTATTTGTATGGCCCCGATTGTTTTTGTGCGCTTGCTCTCAACGACGCCCAATCATGCGGAGTGAATTTCCCACGATCCTGCGCTCTGTTCTCTGCTTGCTAGTCTAGCCGGAGGTAGAAAACCCATAAAAACAACGAGCGTCACAACGATTCACTTTTGGCGATGCATGATGGAGTCCATTGCATTTTAGCGTTTGCTGAGGATGTAGTTAACGTGAAGCGGAACAGTGATCAGAAAGTATCATCGCTGAATTATCCCGAGTCACAAAAGAAGGCCACCGTAGTGCACAGATTGGATGGCAGAGCTGCGTCATCGGTGCCCTACGATGGTCTTCATTAGTGACGCAGGAAAAACTCAGCAGTAAGGTTTTCTTATTTAGGTGGTGTTGGCAAGGCTGTCTCTCCGGATATATCCACGTCACCGACAAGCGGCTAGCGCAGGGCACAGTTTAGACACGAGCGCTGTGTCAGGGCATGGCTGGGTCTATGATCAGTGAAAAGGCGAGTTTCAGCCGAACGTTGAAGCAGTCCTGGCGTCCTCTTTGTGCCCTGCACTGGCCGCTGCAATATGACACTGAAACTTCATTGTTAAGGCCTTGCAATCTTCGAGGTATTGGGAGGATGCGGCGAAATTCGTGTACTCACCCTTTTTTGCACCTCTTAAATATGTTCTTTATACTGGACGCCTCTACTTTGTACTTGCTCTCGATCTGCAAAAGGAATGCGATCAGGGCGGCTGAACGTGGCTACGTCGGTCGGTGGAGGGCTCACCGCTTTCGCTAGGCCAGCCAGCGAAGGTGGCACAAGATGCAGCGGCTGGAAAAATTCTTCTTTTTCCCGACGAGCGTAGAGCAGCACTGGAAGAGAACCGGCAGTTTTACAAGGACTACAAGGGGCAATGTCCAGACTGGCATCATGCGGAACTGCGTCTGGAAAACAATGGTTGGCACGGCTTAGCTCTCGGCCCCTCTCGCTCGCCTGCACACTCGGGGAAGGGCAACCGGGGGTCTCTCTCCCTGTGAGCCTTACCAATGCCTCCTAGAAAGCAAGGTCGTAGTGCTGTATTTCCAGCGTCACCTAAAAGAGGCGAACGCTGAGCACACAATGGGCCGGAATGCTGCTCCAGCGCTTGGCTGTGCAATGTGTCTCCAGCGTGGCCTGCTGTAGGTGACGGGAGAAATTTCAGCCCTCAAGACTCGCTATTTAAGGGGTGTTGGCTGAACAAAGGCCAAACAGAGCTTCTGGGGCGAATCTTGGGGAATCAGTGTCCCTGCGGCAACCTTCCCCGAATTAACTTGTGTGCTAGGAGCAGCCTACCTCTGTCGCTTGGGAACACCTTCAGCTTCTTCAGGGGAGGAGCGGCAGGCTCGCTGTTGGGGCACGCATCTAGCTTGTCTCTCCTATCCATCCTGCGAGGTGAATAAGAACCGTCTCATTCTAATCTAGCAATGGCGAAGGTCCCGTTTTTTTCGCAAGAACGGGGACAGCTATTACCGTGCAACCTAGCGCCACGGTGAGGTTCGCCGCCATTACCTAAAAACTTTATTTCTGCAGAACTGCATACATCTGTGGCTTCAATGCCTACTACGTCAGTGGCGCAAGCTTTCGAGATACATAATAGTGCGCTGCTGGAAGCGCGTTCCTTCAACTTGTCCGTTATAGACACAGCGACATTTTGTAAGTCGCAGAGCACGGAGAATACTCAAAAATGATCATAATTACGAACCAGCGCACAGGTAGACTGTCACTAGCCTTTCCAACTCGCTCAATCTTCCGTATTAGAACTGATCAATTCCTTATAAGGTTCGGAGCTTTTACATCTTTTTTTCCCGACAGCAGAAAAAAAGAACCACTCCAAAATATTAGAACACCCATCACTCTAACCTCCTACGCCCAAAGATGGCATCAAGCGGATGATTTACGAACTAACTTAGGAGTAACTACTTTAGAAGTGTTGTCAGTTGTCTTGCCTGTCTCATTTTCCCCCCAAGTGGATGTCAACTTTTGCCCAAGAGGTTGAAAAATCCAAAATGCACAAAAAACTTCTCTGAGAAGGTCTGTTTACACCACCTGGTGGCTAAACCAGAAAGCTTCGAAAGGAGGTCGGCGAAACGTTTCGCTGGAGCGTTGGCTTGCGACTAAGCATTGTGATTCGAGAAGGTCTGCTCTTTTTATCTCCTCACCTTGTCTGACCAAAGAGTCCCGGCCAGTCGGCGCTTGCGAGGGCTGCTGCTGCAGGGGGCAGCTCATCCGGTGGAATTTTGAGTTTCCTGTGGAAAAAGAGGTGCGTCCTCATGCAAACCGTCACGCGCACCTCGAGCAAAGGTCCTCTTACTCTGCGGTGGGCTGGTCGTCGGGAACGATCACCTGACTGGTGTAGAAGCTGAGTTCCATGCCGGATACCTAAAAGAAAGCCCAGCTGATGTTAATGATGACGATTAGACGCTTTATGGTGAAAATGCTTCACGAGGGCCATACAGCGCCAGGAAGATCCGGGCTCGTACTGGGTCCAGGGCGGCCATGTTGCCTGCTCAGTACACTTACCTTGTCTGTGTCCTCGCTGGGCGTAAACAGCACGGGTGGCTTAATGAGATCACTCATGGAGTAGAATTCGGACCTATCACAGGACTGGTGGTACATCTCCTCAATCTTCTTGCGGCCATCTGGAGAAAAACAAAAAAAGTACAGCATCGGTCAGCTCTCCCAAGCCTGAGTGCGTTAGCATTCTTGAACGCTCTTAGTCCTCAAGATCTAAAGATTCTCGCTTGATATTTGCAGATGTCCAGCGCCCACTCAAACGACTCAATTGATATAGCTAATTGATAAAATGAGAATGTCTTGTCGCAGGAATTTAGGTTAACTTTATACGCATGCACTCAGTAGGCACAATAAAAAGGGAGACTCGACATATATTCCAGGCACTCAAATTAAAGTCCATTTCAGGGTGTTTTGGTGTCACACAGCAGAATAATGTATAAAAAATATTATTTTTTTTTATCAGGGAATTTTCTGGAATTTATAGACAAGTACTCTTTTTTTATTACTTATAGGCAGCATAGCAGGTGCTACTGACTGGGTTATGTGAAAAACAGCATTAAAGTGCGCGCTGACAGTAAGGGGAGATTGAATTGTAACATATTTAGACAGCTGTATTAAGCTGAAACTAAGTCACACTGGTCTAAGGTCTCAAGCGTTCTTAATGTGAACGTTTGAATGTTGCGAATAGATTTATGTAATTGAGGTAGAAGTACGGGTATCTCCACATTTTAATTAATCCGGCAATATATATATATAATTTTTTAAATAGTGCCATGCAACCATGAAGGTCAGCTTGGGGTGAAATGACTGCCTCCGGCATGTTATGTTGGTCTTAGAGTTTGCACATTTCGCAAGCGTGTCTCAACTCGCTGGTATGGTTTACGCTTATAATTCCTTTCGTGTAACGTAGCTTTACGTGGGAGCCATCATAAACTATGCCCGTACAGAACACGTGGCTCAAGCTTCGTTCAGATGACATGAATGGTACGTTAGGATGCCCTCAGGACATCTGCAGGAGCACGTGTTCTGTAACGGCATGCGATGGAGCAAAACCAAGCTGAGATCGTCGGGGCTGATCTGGGGCGCTCTAGGCAAGGAGGGATGTTCCAATGGACGCCCCCACCCACTTGCACACTGGTGCGGAGGAGGACACTCACTGCCCGTGGCGGTGAGTTTCCGTTTGGCGGCTCTCCTCTCTTCGTCTCGGGTTTTCCGCTCGGCCCCCTGCGAAACGAAAGCCGTGAGGTTCCATTCGACCTGCAGCGGGTCCAGGCAAAACTTCCCGCAATACAAGGCCGTAGTACCGAGTTTTTACGCCATCTACTGGAGGCCATTGTATCGCTCGGATTGGACACGGGGGCTAGGTGAGAGTTCGGTTAGGAATCGTGTTCTCATCGATTGAGCTCGAGCCCCTGCAGCCAAACGATGTCGCAACCCTCGCGTGTAATGGCCTTCGCTAGGTAACGTCAATAATCTGGCACTACGGCCTGGTTGTATAGGAGGCGTTGGTCCAGCACGGTGACCCTGGCCGGAAGCCCGGCACCCACCTTGTCGCAAAAGACCTTGATTTGGCAGTAGCCCCGGTGCACGGGCGTGCAGCTCTCCCTGTACTCGTCGTACGTGTCGATTTGCAGGTGCAGCGGCAGCCCCTGCAGTGGTCCCAGATTGGTTCAGGACGAGCCCTATAGCAACACTACCCAGAAGGCGAGGCTCGCGCCTTCCTTCTTCTGACGTCATTACTCGTGGATCTCCGCAGCGCAGTCTAGCCCGCGTCCGCGTCAACGCGAGCGAGCCGTTGACGTGTTTGCAGCGTCTCGAAACTATGCCGCGTTTCACTCGAAGTCCCACCCCAGCCAAAGCAACGATTCAATTGATCTCATCGAGCGGTACTAAAAGTGCAAAAGTGCACATGCGGAGCGCAAGTTCTTCCGCTTCTTGCGCATGGTGCTGCGGCAACGTCAGTACGCCGAGCTCTAAATGGCACTGATTGAAATATAGTGGGTAGACCTCGAGGCAGCTTGCTTTGAGGTGTATCCGCTGTCCTTCAATCGGAGCAAATAGGGGCTCGGTCTACTAACGTCACCACAACTCCCACAAAAAAAAAAAAACAAAAACAAAAAAAAAAAAACAGACAAACTTGCTTTTTGCATATACAGTTTTTCACTTTTGGTACGGCTTAATGGGCTCCACAGAATCGTATACAGCGTCGGCTCAGTCCGGAGGTAAAGTGAGACGTATTATAGAGGTGTAACGACCGTTTCTCTAACCTAAGGTTCGACCTACAGCCTCGAGGTATTCGACCAAGTTGGACTTCTTGAAGAATGTTGCCTAAATTGTGATCCTAAATTTTTTTAATTTGCCCCCTCTTTTCCCCACAAAAAAAAGAAAAAAAGAAATGAAAAAGTTGACACGTGAGTTTTTTTCTAAATTTTAGGAAATAATGATCACTGTTCGAACAACAAAAGCTCAAAACAGATAAGTCTTCGATGATTTGCTTGGCTTTTAAGAGAAATCGTATACTCGATATCCAGGGTGTTTGATTTTATGTTTAACATAACAGCGCATGAGGGACGGAGGCAAAGGAAAAAAACGCAGACAGAACTCTTTCCTTGTCGTTTGTGTGCCCTTAGTTCAACGCGTCATCGTACCAACTAGCCCTGCTCACCACCCTTCTTCCGTTTAATTTTAATTCGGACATTTTTTTTTTTTTAACGGGATAAGAGTGAGGCGAGTGCCGTTTTCACCGCGTATTTTCCGGGCGGATATTTGGGGAGGTCGTGGTAGTCGTACTAAGGTGGCTAATTAACTTAAAACAATTATATAACAATTTAATTATCGGTTTTAGGGGACATGTTGCCGTTGCAGTTTCGAAGGCAATTGCTACTAGAGGTCAGACAAATTAAAACAATTTGCGAAGAGGTAGTAGTCCTTTTAGATAATACTTGGTAAATTTTCACATTTTAGCCAAATTTAAAAACAAAAATGCTGGCCAAATGAGCGCCGCAAGCCCTGCCCACAATGACGGTCGGAAGAGTGACGTATTGGTTTCAATCATATGGTCACTATCTCGGCAGCGTGTTTTTCGTGGATGTGCCCACAACACAGGTAACGACGTGACTAAAATGACGTCACTCTTCTAAGCGTCATTGTGGGCAGGGTTTGCTGCACTTTTTCTGAGCTATTTTTAAATCAAGCTAAATAAGTAGCAACTTTATCGATTAGTATTTCAAAAATATTAAATTTTCTCAAATGATTTTGAAAGGTCTAGCTTCTAATAGTAAATGCTTCGTAAGAATGAAATTGCAAGATGACACCTAAAATTAACAATTGGAAAGTAAATGAACAAATGTAAGCTAATCACACCAATTACCGTGACGAATATACACTCATCAAATGTCCACCGAGCCTGATAAATGCATGGTGTAGAGGGTCCTCGTCTAAGTCTTACTCCATTTTAGAAAAATATATGAATTAGAAATGAAAACCCTTTCTATATTGCACGCTTCCAACGTCCGGCGGCGTCAGCTCGTTTTCAATTTCATCCGGTGCGCACAAAAATGAAACTTTAATCGAACTTTTATCAAACATCTGTCGAACATTCGTGGAAGTTCTGTCAAACGTCGTGTTAAAAATTCGATTGAGCTCGTGGAGCTCGAATATCGTCACGATCACGACATCCTCGGAACCGAGTGCAAAGCTGGAGCAATTGAAATGCCTGCACCTTCCGGTTAGCTAAATGTTTCAGCTGAGTTTCAGTGTGTTTCCCACTTTGGACGCGTTGTGGATCAGCTAACGATGGCGTAATACCCAGGCCTAGTTTCCTAGGTTGGTTTGGACACTGGGCCGCGCAAGGGACTCACCTTGACGCCTTTCTGGTTGCTGAAGTCCGTGCTCAGACACTGCACGGCTACGTTCACCTGCGCACGAACCATTTGGATGTTTGTAGCAAGCAGGATGGATAAACGCTCATGGCGAAATAGGGAGGGCGGGCACTGAAGCGGACAACTCTCAGACGTTATACAGGCTCATACAGAAGGAAGCATCATGCCCCTTTTCACACAAAGCCTGCATCCGTCATCTACATACGTACACTAAATGTACCTTGTACCAAGAGAATGGAAATCAGCCATGACCCGTATGCCATCCGCTAAGTTTGTCTTATGATGGTTCGTTACAAACAGGCATTCGAGTGGACAAGGGCACATCTGGAACTCTGAAAAGCGTTTGTGATAACTACATTTTGTCTTCAACCCCTAAATTAATTCACTTGGGTATAGTCATAATAACTACAGTTACACCATAGTTAACGCTAATTAAAGTTAGTGCTCCCAGTTGTTAAAGACTATATTATGTTACTTAACCTATGGCTGCAATAACTGCTTGGCAACGACTCCTCAGAATAGCGTCAGATTATCTCACACGTTAGACTAGGCTACTTATCGATTGCTGAAACTGGAGCAACTTCCTTGGTGGTGAAAGTGCCGCTAATCTAACGATGTTTTCGGCATATTCAGTATTCAGGAACATGCGATATTTCATAATCATAACCAACTACTGTAGAAAAGCAAATTGGTTAGCATTACTGCGCTGATGTAATTAACTCCTGATAATCCTTTTATGCTTCAAATTATTGAACAATGCACAAAAAACGGTCAGCGGCCCCCATAATGAATACGCGTCGAGGTGCTTCACATGGAGACAGATATATATCTGCAAAGGTATTGAATAATATTGCTTCGTTAGCACAAATATTACATGATCACATTCCCTGGGTAGTTTTCTGGGTATGGTTTAAAAGACTGGTGTTTCATTTTTTTTCTGTCTTGCGGGATTACTGAATTTCTGAAATATCCCTTAAACTAAAGTATAAACCTCGCCATTAATGGGAAATATTCTAAACGTTCTGGGAAATATCATGAATATCAATTATGGCGCACAAAATTATATTAAATTTCGTCGACATCTTAATTTCAGTAACAAAAGACCATAAAAAGTACAGTGACTTTTCTCAGTTCATAAAGCGACTAAATACATTGTTCTAAATTATACGAACTCGGTTTTAGAGGCTCTTTTTTTTTTTTTTGCTTCTAAAAGTGTATTTTTGAGGACGATCCCAATCGTGGCTTTTAAAAATCGCAAAAGTACTAGAACTTTTCTGTCTGCTGGGATGCCGCAGGGCTCAGTTTTATCGCCTTTGTTGTTTAACCTTTATGTAAATGATCTTCCTAATGCTATCTACAAGTGTAAACTATAGCAATACGCAGGCAACATGGTTTTGATGTCATGTGACGCGGATTATCACGTTGCCATTCAAACATTTCAGAAATATCTTATTTCCCCAATGGAGTGGTTTTATGCTAACTTAATTAAAATGAATGCTTCGAAAACAAGTTTTGTTTGTTTTAGACACCCGCTCAAGCAGGTGGGTCAATCAGATACTCTAGCGCTGCATACTTCACCTGTAATTTTTGTGGTTGCGGACCTCTTCAGTATGTAAAATCGGTAAAATACCTAGGAATTTGCTTCAACAGTGATTTGTCATAGTGTACTCACATATTAATGTACACGATTAAGAGGCGGGCCATGTTATCTTTACAATGCCAAGACGTTTTTGCTTTTTTTTTTTTTTGTTATAAAAATGATAACACAGGAATTGGCATATAGTTACTTGCAGTATGGTATAACCATTTTTCCAGCCTGCTCCCTTCTTTGCGTGCCAGAGCAAATTCTTTATGAAAACATATCTTGAAGAGAGATGCGTTTCATAGGCCAGATGTCTTATTAAATACACATATATTTCATACACTTCACCCACCGCCTTTCGGAAAAAAAAAAGTCTTACTTTGGCATTTTTGGAACTCTGTGTTTAAAACGCCATATCTACAGCAGTGACCAAGGAGACAATCACTTTGCTTCGACGTACTGAGCATCAGAACGAGATATGGTGGTCGTAGGCGGATGCACCATGTACCACAAGTTTTCAACAATCGACCAGAATCATTGCTTTCTCTATCATATAAAAGGAAATTTAAAAAGACACTGCGAAATTTAGAACTATGAGTTGGGATTTCTGTTTCACTCTGTTATCATGTATCGAATTGATTCCGGTTTACTTCCTTTTTAAATATATCCCTTCTGAAAATTCTCGAGTTTTTCTCAAGCATGTTCTTGAGTGTAAATAGATATACACCATACTGAATTATACCATGACCTCGCCACCTGCCGAGCTAGTTACAGAAGACTGAAACTTATACCGGCTCGTTAGTGGTACTTAGGACAGTGTTTCTCATAAAAATAAAGCTATATCCTATGTCCTATATTCTACAACAAAATCCAGTAGAAGTTATCTTGAGACTTAGTAGCGTTTTCGTTAATTACGAAGTTACCGGCCGCTAAACGTGACACTGCACAGACTGATAACTGCCTATGCTGATTCTGTGTCCAAACATTTCCTCAGCTATATTTATTTAAAAAAAAATCTTATTAAGTGCAATAATTGTTAGTTAACGTAAGCACGATACCATATGCTTTTTATTTTGTGGGTTTCACCGGGTAAACTTATGTTTGTGAGAGGGCGCGTTAATGATCCCAGAACAAGGAGTCTGACGCATACGTCATTGAACAATCAGGAACCAATCGAAAAGCGATGGAAGCACTTCCATTTTAAGTCAAACCGCCTTTTCAAAGTTCTCAACAACCAAAATACTGTGATGAGCGAATCGGTTGTGCATTATAATACACAAATAATGCAAAAAACCAGAACGAGTCGAAAATGACAAAAAAATCGCTTGTTTTGTCTCCTCCTACTTTTTCTCCTAATTTGCGCTATAACTGCTTCATAGTCCTAAATAACTACAGAAGGTGAGGCCAACTTATGCGTACATTTGCGAGGCACGGACATCAAGAGTTACTACGGGATCTGATTCGAAATAAATAAGCGGCTGCTTATGTACTTTCAAACTCTCAGAGTTTAAAGTGCGTCCTAATTAGCGCGTAATCGGCTTTCATAATCATACAACGTAGGTATGCTCCCTCGCAGCATGTACACTTGTCCCCTGTTATTCGCTATACACACATTCGCAACGTATTTTGCTGTACCAAACCTAGTTTCTTCGCCAAGCGCCCTGGATGGTCCTAACACAAATCTCTGGGCTTTCTGGAGTGAAACCCAGGTCTCACCTTGGCGGGGCTCTCCAGAGGATTCCAGTAGAAGGCAATGGCGTTGTGCGTCACTTCTTCGATCTGGCCCATGATGCCTGTGCTGTTCTTGGTGTCTGCAACAGCCAGGAACAATAATGGCGTCGTTAGCGCGACACTACACGACACCATACTTTCAAAGCATTCCTCGAAGTAAACAGCCATGAAATCATCCAGTAATCTCCTCTCGAGCCAGTATATTAACAACATGGGTTTCATAGCAAATACACTACTGAAAATCGCAGAGAAAACTATCGTCTCCGATCGCTGTCGGCTGCGTTTTAAAAGGAAAATAGACACACACTATTCGTTGCAGACATGTCAAGTAAACCTTTTTGTGAGCAATGTTCTTAAGCGTGAGTGACACCAACTTAAAAAAAAAGGAAAGCAATTTTAAACAACCGTTACTCCAAAACATTTTCTGGGGTCGATCAAAAATTTAGGTTCTGTTTTATACGTGGACAAGATTTTGTAAGTTTGCGGTGCGCGGACGACGGACGCTTTGTGAATCCTTTTATGTCGAAGACTGCTGCCAGAAATGGGAAGCTACTCGTGCATAAATGCCTCCTGTTGTACAAGATACTTCAACGGAATTCGCTTACTGCTAATTACAAACATATAAATGAAAAAAAAAATGCTCATTCCACGATACAAAATTAGCAAGAGAGAAAATGTTAATATTTTCACGTCTGTAGCCTGATAATAATATTCATCCGCGATTTCGCACGAGTGTTAATTTGTGTACAGACTGTTACAAGCATTCTCAAACATAGAATACACCCAATGACATACAAAGCAATGAACGGGAATAAGATGATACGTGCACTTAATATTGTGCCGAACATAAAGGTATATTATTGTCAGCGCTATTTGGGCATGATGGGGCCGACTGATATGAAGTTATTATCATCAAGGAGATGATCTCCATGATAAAGCCAAATATAGTCTGAGGGTTCACTCACATGGCATCTGTGGGCAAAACAGACAAGCACAAAAACAAAAAGAGAGGGAAAGAGAGAGGTGATTAGTGATAGAGCGGGTCCGATATCCGGGGCACTTGGTACGTTCCACTGACCGGCATCGAGTATCCTCTGTTTGACGCTGTGCTGCCTGCTGTGCCAGAACTGCCACGCCTTGATTTCATCCTCGGGCGACTTTTCCTCTCGGAACACGAGCATCACGAGGCTCTGGAAAAGCAGCCATAGGCGGAGCAGGGCATTTGGCAAAAATCCCCAAAAAGCCACACGCGACGCGAGCAACGAATTAATAATGGTGCCTCCTAAGGTTCCTTCCTGCGTCCCGGCAACCACTACCACGTAACTGAGGAGAGCGCACGAGGAAAAGGGTACTGTTTGCTTCTTCGCATGATGCCCCAAAATGCTACCTTGCGTGGAGACCCAGGAGCACAGAGAGACAGTGCTAGATTTATATAGACTGTTCCCAAAATGTTTCCTCTGCGCAGTAAAAGCGTCGCCCGCAAATATCTACTGGCCACGACAGCTGATACTTGATGTTCCCGAGAAACAATAAGCACTGGAAAACAAGGAAAAAAACTGCCAAGGGGCCAGAAATTATTGCACTCGCAACTAAACCTTTGAAGAAGAAAAAATGCAGTGGAGTGTAAGCTCCTTAAAAGATTATGGTAATTGCTCTAACTTAATTCTACTTCTGAGAAAGATAACGTTATTTAAAGAGTTTTGTTGTGCTAGCCAAGATCGTGCATATCACAGTGAAAAAAATTGCTTGAGAAATAAACGAGGTACAAAAGCACTGCATTAAAAAAAAAACATTTAAAATAGTGTCAGTGACGCGTAAATCGCCACTTGAACAAAACTTCTTGGTACTAAAACACAACGTTTAATATACAAAACAATGACTAGTGAATTTTGGGCAGCTTATAAATTAAAATAATGTATTTTTAGTGAGGCTCTCTGTTCCGAGTGTGTTATCTGCTGACTAGACCAACTACACCAAGATACCGTCATGTGTACACGTCTGTCTTAAGAGTGACGACATCGGCTCACTTTGCCTTGGATGCTTTGACCTGCAGCACATGAAGGAGCGCTTCGCCGCTTATGCTTAGTTCTGGCCGGTACTTCGTTGAAGAGGTTTTACCAGCTATATCTTCAAAATCATATCCCGATTGCGTGGCGCTGCTATTGTGTACTGCAAAGAGTGGCATACCACCCGAAAGAACACAGAGACCTTGAAAAGGGAAAACGAATGGTTAACCTCAGCTAATTGTTCTGCACGGCTACTCCGAGCCTGGAAATGTGTGTAAACTGATGATGCCCTTGCAATTTGTTTGATGATCCAGGGATATGTATTTTTCCCTCTATTTTCCATTGAAGGTACCGAAGCAGATTAGCCCCCTTGATTCTCTTCTTGCTTTTCCTCAACTTTTCTAAATCACTGTCGAAACCGGTTATAACGAAATAGCGGCTACAGTGAAGCGAACACGATTTCCCATTCCCTTTTGCACTTCGTTAAAACCGAAGTCCGTTATAACAAAATAGCGGATATAGGAAAGTGATTTCCACCTCACCTTGACTGGCGTGTTCCTCAGGGGCTTGTCCGGGTCGGGGACGTACTCCAGCGTAATACCGTAGAATTGACCTGCTGAACGGAACGGCAGTCAGAGCCATGTGTGGTCGCCCGACACTCAGAGAAACTGCCCACCCTTGTTGATGTACGTGATGCGGTCGTCCTCTCGCCGCTGACTCGTCGAGATGGGCGACTCGAGGTAATATTTGAACCCTACATCCGATTGTCTGCAAGATGAGACGCAAAGCACCAACGTAAGAAAGGATCCTGCTGACGCGATAAGGCCGTACTGCTGAACTGTATGCGTCATCTAGTGAAGGCCAGCGTAGCACACAGGTTGGACGTGCCGCGTCAACGTTAAAAATGGATCGTGTTCGATCACTAAGAAGACGGGTCCCAGCTGAACGCTCATGCAGCACTCGTGCCCAAAGTGTGTCCTACACGGGCCTCCAGTAGACGACGTGGGGAATCCAGCGCTTGAGCCTTGCTTTCTAAGAGATGTCGGATGTCGGCGTCACCGATGTCTCACATTTTTGGTATCTGTATCTTGTCCGCGTCCGAGGCTCTGCCGTACTCGTGCCAGGACCGACGCATCGACTGCGAGCTGCCCGGCCTGCTGCCGCTGCTAGCCGTCCCGTTCGTCTGCTCGGGGGAGGTGAGCATCTGCGCCTGCGACAGCTCGGAGTAGTCGAAGATCTGCAATACAGAAACAATATCGATCTCAGGCTTGGCCTGAGCTTCTCTTTCAGCCCATGTCGGTAATATACGGGCGTCCACTTTCTAAGTAGTTATAGCAATGACGCAGGATCATTTAGCTCCTATTGGAATTTTAAAGGCCGATTTATTAAAAGGAAAAACAAAACACAGAGGTAATATTAACTGGTTAATTTCTGTGAAAAAGCCCCGAGGCTCCTCCTCACCCGGGTGTGGGGAAACGGGGAAGCGGAAGCACCCCGGTTGTCTTTGCTTTCGTTACTTTCAACGGGTGACCACGGTCCTCCCGAGCACCCCGCGGCAAAGGCGTTGTCTCTTCCTCTAAGGGAGCGTTTTGTTTTTAAGTGTGCGCGTGTTTTGTTGTGTTCTCCAGCCCACAGAGTACGCTGGTGACGATCGAATTTCGGGTAAGGAGCTGTGGCGTTGCGCCACTCTGTCTGGAACCCAAGGTTGTGCCGACGTTGCGGAGCTGTGAGACGAGGCCGTTGCAAATTTGATCTGCAGCCGGGTCGGCCCCAGCCGACCATTGGAGGGTTGACACCACGTGACTTCGACAAAGTTTGAAACTCTTGGTTGAAACTTGCCTGTGGGCGAGGGAGCGAGAGCCTTCGAAAGCCTCGGACGAGGCGAGGGAGTTCAGTTGTGGACAGATTTGGACATCTGTAAGACCTATTCCATCCGAATATGCCAACGTCCCATACTATGTACAGTACATAGATTGTAAAATAAATTGGTTCACCAAAAAACTCGCAAAATCTCCATTGCCTCCTAAGAATTTCAACGACCGTCGTCAGCCTGCCAAATCTTGCAGGCCCAAAGCATCACCAACGTACGAACGAACCATCACTATTTTAATGAAAATTATATCAAACCAGCACAATATCTAAGATATTATAAAACTGCACAAAACAAAAACAAAAGTGTATCCATGGGGATGTCTTTCTGGTCTCAGCATTGAACTAAGTAAGCCACCACCTTGGGCAAAACACCAAATATATTGATCTGAGTTTGCAACTGGGCGCACCAACATTCAAGGTCCTGTCAAACAGAAACAAGCTTTACTCAACGGAAATTTAGTAAAAGATTAGCGACATGAATGTTAAGCTTCCTTAGACAACATATATGTTAGGCCTACACGACTTTCAGTGTAAAGTACATCTTAAATTTAGTTCCCACCTGCGGTAGGCTGGCGGACTCCCTGGGAGTCATGGTGGCCTCTCCGATGCCGGAGTCGGGCGACGGCAGGTCAACACTGAGCAAGCTGCCCTTGAAGCCGTTGACGGCCGCCGCAGAGCCGTTCTGGCGGATGTAGCGGTCCACAAAGCCAGGCTCCGGCTCGGCGTAACCACCGCCACCCGCCGCCGCAGCGGCCGCCGCAGCCACAAGTTGCTGCTGGCGCACCGCCTGCTGGTACTGGTCTCCATTGCCCGCAGAGTAGTAGTCCGTGCTGGGTCGGTAGTACTCCGACGCCCCACCGGAGTAGATGGGCCGCGGGGGACTCGCACCACCAGAGAAGGCGCTCGTGGTCAGCACGCTGAACAGGTCTCCTGAGTATGGCTGCGCGGGCTGCACCGTGGCGAAGACGGGCGAGTAGGGGCTCTTGGGCTCCATCATGTCGTCCGACTTGGGGCCCTCAGCAGCCTCCTGCTTGATAACCACGGTGGCGGACACCTCCTCAGCCTTGGGTTCGTCGGCGAGGGCAGCCTCAACGAGGTCCCCTCCGTCGTTGGCTTCGGACTTTCCCATGAAGAGCGCTTCTTGACGGCTCGTCGCCGGGGACGCCGGGCTCTTGCTCGTTGTCGGGGGTGACGAAGAGGACGTGGCCGGGACCGAGACCGCGTGGCTGTAACGGTACCGCCACGTGAATCTCGGCACCCAACTGAGCCCCTACCGTCGCCTTCACTGATCCACAATAATCGAACGAAGCAATGTTTGCTTAATAGGTCTATAGGCCCTAGACTCGTCAAACAAAAAGTTGGGCCGAAGTTTACGGCGCACTCCGATTGAACTCTCGCGACGATGGCGTCACTAGTATGCCGCCGAGGTTCATTAGGCGCGTTTCGTGAATTTTTGGCTTCCAATTTGGCGACTCTAGAGCCCCAGAAAGACCCAAACAGTTAGAGAGCAATCCTTCTATGCTATGGTGGTACGTATTTGAGATGAAACCCACTAGGAGCCTCAGAATGTGTTTTTTATGCCCAAGAGGAAGTATAAACCTTCTCGGTGATCAAGGAAGGCTGGACAAAACTATCCAGAATATACTTTTTTTTCAACAATTAACTAGGCGAGTGTTTCTTTGTTGACGAAGAACATGTCCCTGATAGTGTCGTCCAGTTTCCTGGAACATCTATGGTGTCTCATTATGCGTGTTTCTCAAGATCGAGAGATATTTCGCTCGAAAATGTAGGCCGGCTGCTTTTTTTGTTTTTTATATTCATCTTTTTCCGGAGAGCAAAGCCAGTCCCAGTGTTCAAGAACGTCTCATCAACAACGGTTCAAAAAAGCAGATAACGAGCGCTATACCCCTCAGCTCTTGCACGAGAGTTAAGCTAGAGTACGGCAATACGCTACACTTATAGGGAACTACATGTCGCATTTCAGAGCCGCCTTAAAGATGTATAGAGCTCACACTGAAGCGCCATCCTAATTCAAAGCAGACGATTGATTGAAATCACTTTAATGCCGATGCGTTTCTGAACAAGGGCAGCTCGGTCAATTGAATCATTGACGCCATTAAAGAGAACCCTTGTTCTGGTCGTATATTTACAACATTAAACCTAGCCTGCAGTCTACGGGGCACTCCAGGGTATAATTTTATGCGAATGCAGAGAAATAAAAAGAGATTCGGAGTCGCTGTTTCACCGCTCGAAGAAACAGCAATCAACCCGACTTGGCGTGCCGGGAAGCCATCGACGATGGACGATCGACGGCATTTGAAACGAGGGAGGAAGGGGGGGGGGGGGGGGGGGGGGGGGGGGGCAGCGAACCGTGCAAAGATAAGGGCGAGTTCGCCGTCCTACTCGAGTTGGAAATTCGTCGAGCGTCCATGTCTGTGGACACCGACTGCAGGACTGCCATCGAGATAAGGTTCCCCACGTCCAAGGACAGCGCCGTCGAAGCAAACGACGTGGAAGGTGACGCCGTGTTTTGGCCGAAGAGGGCAGTAGCCGCCGCCCAAAGGCATAGATTACATGAAAGAGTTGGGAGTAGACAGCTGGCGTGGCCTCCACAACAGATCGTCAATTCCGTCAGAGACGCATCGTCGTGATTGCAGAAAGCATATTCTGAAAAACATTTTTTTTTAATTTTCCAGAGTTTTGTGCAGCACTGTGGAAGCCGCATAAGGGGGAGGGAAGATGTACCTCTTTTACGCACTTCGTGGAGCAAAATATCCTATGATGGGCTGGGAAAAGGGACGTTCAGTGTATGCTTCTCCGACTGCTGTCTTTACCGCGTCCTAAAAAGTGATGTCTCGATTTCCGCGCATGATTATGCCACAGAAGTGTCACGCCGTCGGCGGTCGCGACCCTGCCGGTGTCACAGCAATGGTGGTAAACGTTCCAAACGCTTGTTCTCCTGCAGGTCGCTCTCCAGGTTGAGAGTCCACGAAACCTTCGTCAGCCAGGGGTTGGGACGCCGCGACGACGGCGACACTCGCGCTCAATCACACTTTTTGAGCGAACCTCTGCACCCAATCGTAGGATCACATTCGAAAGCATTACACTCCGGTTTTCCTGACGTAATGTGTTGCCACTTCTTGACCAGTTTTGATGGATGCATGGAGTAGGGCGCTAAACGCACCAGTCGGAAAAGAGTTCTAGGCAGCGTAGTTCAGGGTGTATGTCGCGAAGATGTTGTTAATTACTTACGGATTATAAGTGAGAGGAGACAAAGTATTTCGTCTAACTTATTAGATAGTTTATTAGCTAATTCCGTTACTTCCGAAGACGATGTCCGATTCTCCGCCGACGCCCTTGCGATGCATCGCATACGCAAGGGCGTCCGGAGCGATCTACCAAACCTTCCTGTTGCTATCAAGAACTACCAAACGACAACCTCCCGACAATTTGGCGTCTGTCACAGGGCAGTGCACAATAAGGAGGCTGCCCATTTAGACGCACTTGCCTGGGAATATTGGGAACGGGGTTGAATTTGCCTTTTCAAACTGCACGTACCATAAGTTTAACGTTTACATTTGATCAAAGGTATCATATTTGAGACGAAGTATCAGTCATTCGACTTTGCTGAACTGTTGCAACTACAAATAGGTTTCTCTTCCCTAAGTTTGACGGCCAAAACTACGAGCAGTTTGTCTGAAGGAGAGAAGTCAGAGGGTACTTTAGAGTAGACTTGTGCATTACGTGTTACATGTAATGGATTACTTGTAATCGATTATATTTTAACTGTACTTTTGTAACGCTTTAATTACCTCATTTAAAATTTAAAGAGTTACGATCCTTGAAATTGAATTACTTTTTACTGTAATCGATTTAAAATCCCCCATTACAATTTTTCTCAATTTCTTTCCCCTTTTTTTTGGGGGGGGGGGGGGGGGGAGGGGGGGGGGCAGATGTGCTGAAGTTACTCAGCTCTAAACAACGATTTTTTTTTTTCGAAACCCCTAAGCACGGGACTTCGAGGGTTGGAAGGCCATTTCACTGTGCTTCGTTTCCTGGGTACATTTTTTTTTGGTACACCGGATACTACGTCCGGGTCTTTTTGTTTTATTTTCGTCTTTTTCACCAGAGGGATTGAGTGTGTCGGTGTCACTGACTCATCATTTATGCTGATGATACAACACTACTTTTTTCAGCTAACAATATCGACACACTTGCAGAAACCACTAACAACACACTGGAATATTTACATAAATGGAGTGAAGCAAACGCTCTACTGATTAATACATCTAAAACAAAAGCGATAATATTTAAGCCACATAATAAATTGGTAAATATTGACTTGCGCCTGAAACTTGGCCCCTCTATCATTGAAGTCGTCCCGAATGTAAAAACCTCAGGTGTAATGTTTAATGAAAACATCTCATGGGACACCCACATTCAAAGTGTAATAAAAAAAATTTCAAGTGTTGTTGGCATTCTCAACAAGTTCCGTTCAAGTTTGCCAGTCAAAATTAAGCTTCTCATTTACAATTCTTTATTCATGTCACATTTGAATTATTGTCACTTGGTCTGGGTCACATCAACTACAACTAACTTGGACAAATTAACGATTCTTCAAAAGAAGGCAATCCGAGCTATAATCAAAGTACCACAATCAACCCACACGAAACCATTGCTTAAATCATTGAACGTCCTATCCTTAAACAAACTGTACGAATACACTTTACTTATTCGATATATAGCAAGTATTAAACAAAAGGCGCCTGACATTGGTAACATAGCAGAATTAACAATAACCTTATAACGTACGTCACGAAGAAGTATGAAGGATACCTTCAGTCAAACAACCTATGGAACTCAAATGCTAAAACATCGCCTTCCTTTTGTCTATAGCCTAATTTTAAACGTGCATTCTGACTATTGTTACAGTGATTTTTTTTAGGTATCTGACTTTTTTTTTTTCTTTTTCTTTCGATTGCTTGCCGTTTGCCAAAAAAGGGTGCGTGAACCTCGTCAAGCCGACATCTGTCGGCTTTTTGTTCATGCCTCCAGTGCCTGTATTCCTGTACAGACGCCAATAAAATTATTGATTGATTGATTGATTGAGCTCTAAACGAACAACTGAGTGCAACACCCCAAGGATTATGCTACAGTAATAAAGAAGTTGAATGAAAAGTAACGTGGGAAGTAATCGATTACTTTCAAATATATTTTCGGTTACTTTTTTGAGTCTGTCATTGTAATTGTAATCGGTTACTTTTCACAGTGAAGTAATTGTAATTGTAATGGGTTACTTTTTTTCTGCAACGTGTACAAGTCTGCTTTAGAGGCGCTCGTACGGGTTTGTCGTCCAGTCAGATGAAGGCGTGAAGGCAGGATAGTTCACGCATTTCAGGGACATGCACCTTCGATTAATTTTGGAGTTATAATTTACGGCTTTGTTTCCTCGCTTCTGAGCTCGATCAGGGTTTGTTTCAAACTTAAAGCATAATCGAATGATATACTGCATTCTTTGACCGGATGGGCTTGATTAGTCGCTTAGTCTTCCGACATTGAGTTGTCTCACTTCAATATGGTGTTGGTGGGATAAAGCGGGTATTTGGGAGTACTGTCGGTTGCAGATTAAGGACAGCCCGACAAGCTTCACCCACAAAGCCCTCCACTTTTTGCACTTTAGCAGAGGGAATGCTGGAGAGGAGTCCAGTGAAGAGTGAGGAGACCGCGATCGGCGACCAGAGAGCTTTGTCGGAGAGGTCAGGTAGCGGAGAAACTAAGCGTGCAGAGAGCACCAGTGATGTCGATGCTTACACCAACCATAGGCCAGTGTTCTTAAATCTATCAATCGACTAGCTTCACCAAAGGGAGTCTTTCGAAAGCGGTTCTTCTCTTTTGTGCGGGAGAAGGTATATATGAACGGATAGCCTTCCTTGCATCACCAGCGGCAAGACTGTAGGGCCAAGAGAGAACCGTTTCCAAACGACGCTATTAACTGCGCGAACTTTTGCTCCAACCTTATAAATACAAAAAAAAAAAAATCACAGTAGAATTATTTTTGACCGTAGGTAATGTGCATCCAACATTCCACCGGTTCAGACGCTAGTGTCAGTTTGGCGGGCCGATGGCTTAGCGAGCGCCACCGAGCGGACGCACCACGTAAAGGCGCAAGGTGTTTTGGGAATCTGGTCAACTGACTTTGGTAGATATTGACGTTGACACCTGAACTACAAACAAAGCCGGCCGGGATAGCACTGCTCTTGGCACGCACAGTTTCGCTTTGAAGCCTCGTACAACGCTGACATTTATCTTCCCGTAGCACCTACTACAAAGTTTCTAGGCGAAATTTGACAGCACGGTTGTGAAATTAAGATCATGCTTCAATTCTTGAAATATATTATGCCTAAGAAAATGAAAATGCTAAAGTTAATTAAGCCCCTTAATACATTTATTGCGAAATAACCCATTTCTTTTATTTGCAGTAAACGCCACGGCCGGTAGTAACCAGCTTTGTCTGAAGGATAGGGAAAAAACATAACGAAAGTTTACTTTAAGACATTACGAGCACCTAGAAAATGTAAAAATACTCAAAAAGCCGGGAGACGTCATAATTAAAATAAGAGCACTGACTTGTCACAACAGAAAAAACAATTTCATTAGACGTTTCGCCTCCCATGCGGGAGGCATCTTCAGTAGTCACAAAGGAAATGCAAGGTTCAACCTCAAGTCGACGCGACTGAAGACTGAACTGGTGGTCCATGCGTGGACAACGGGGCATTCTTTCGACTTTCCGGCCGTGACGACCTTGGCGAGGGAGGACAGATGGAGGCCCCGAAAGCTCCTAGAATCGTGATTTTTTTGCAGGGAGACATCCGTGTGTAACAAAAACCGCGGCCCGCAAGTCGGCTCTCTTATTTTAATTACAATTAGAAAAGAAAAACAGCTTTTACAGGCGCAACTCTGCCAATGTTCCAAACATAAGAAAAATATTAAGAATGGTAAGAGAGGATCACAGTTGCTCTGTTAGCCAGAGACTATATGATAAATTTCACCTTATGGTGTAACGCTAATGAATCTATCGAAATGAATCCAATGCCTTGTGGGAGTGCCACGTGACCTTCGGACGGTGCGCGGCGACCCGCGGGACACGTAGTCATGTGGTAACACTCGCTGTGTTACAGTGGCTAAGACAGCTCGTCGCGTCCACTGCGTTTCATGGTAACGCGAAGCGGAGGGAGCAGAGGAGATCACGCACGTCCATATCTCGGGCAGGGTGGCGGCCATCTGCTGCTGTGGCTTGAGGGCCCCGGCGTACTCGTACATGAGGGCCTGCTCCTCGGAGATGTTGAGCATCGCCGTGGTGGCGGCCGTGAGCGGGTGGTCGTAGTAGGCCCTCCAGGCGGCGGCCACGCCCCCCGCCGAGGCCGGCCCCTGGGGCGCGTCCCCCCCGTCCGGCAGCACCATGGCGCCCGACATGCGCTGGTCCGGCAGCACCAGGGCGGCCAGCTGCTGCTGCTGGTCGGGGCCCTCGACCAGCACCAGGGCCACGTTCTTCACGCAGGCGCCCTCCTCGAGGTCGGACGCAGGGGAGGCCCCGCCGCACTGCGCCGTGACGGCAGCACGGTGCATGCAAGGACCGGGCCTTTGTCAAGGATCATCCCTTCCTCCCTTCTTTTTGGTGGCACCTCGGAGAAAAAAGCCACGCCTCCGATAGAACAAGGCCGGGGGGACTTTAGTGTCTACGTAGCCTAAAGATCAACGTGGTGCACAGGCCGGACGTGAGTGCCGTGTCACAGGGGCAGAAGGAACAAGTGTTCGTCAAGAGCATCCGAAGGAGCCTTCGTCCAGAACATGGCCCCAATCTTTCCTTCTTTGATGGCACCACGCGAAAAGAAGTGACACCTCCGAGCTAACAAGGCCAGTGGTCTTGATTGCCTACGTCACCTAAAGAAGGCCAACGCGGGGAACAGATTTTATACGAGTGCTGCGTCTGCGTTCGGCTGGAGCTAGTGCACAATCGGCGAGAAGACGAGTTCCAACCAATCGCTGACGCAGCACTCGTGCCCAATCGGTGCCCAGCGATGGCCTTCTTTGAATGACATAAATTATTGAGCCCTCTGGCTTTTTTTTTTTTTATATAGGAAGTCTTCGCGGAAGTTGCATGCTGTGAAATCGGAAGAACATAGGTTCTATACTTTGTTTCCTTTGAATTTGAAGCGAAGCAGACGCTACGAGATGCTGAGTTCAATAAAACAACGTGAACATCGCTTTTTCTTTTTCTTTTTTTCTTGGGGAGGTGGGGTGTTAAGAAATCGCTTAATTGCTGCAGCTGCTTCTTCCTCTGTTCATGCCAAGGATCTGAGATCGCGTCTGCAGCCTCGAGTGCAACGAAAATCATTTGAGCGTTTGTACATACGTTTGGGTTATGGGGGAAAAAAATGCGGCGACGCTTACGAGTATTGGAGTTCACCTGACGGGTGTATCTGCAAGGTCCCGGTCTCCAGTAGCGGCCTTTTCAAAATCAGATTGCTTACGTTAGTGCAGTTCAGCTTCGTACAGCGTTAAGCTAGGCTAAAGCTCTACGTACGGGTTAGGTTAGTGCGCCATCACATGCACAAGTATAATCTGGCGATACGAGGTCATTTATTGGAATATGCTTTTTCGCGTACTCTCTGCAGGTAGCTCGAGATTCCCCTGGTAAAACTCCCAGTTTTTACTTGTTTTCGGGTACCTTTATGGTTGGGCTATTGATTTGTTTTTTTTCCCGCGATCACGCGCTGTCGGCATTTGGTAGAACGGAACGTGGTACAACAATAAGAAGAATAAGAATATTGAGGCAGCCTTGGTCGGGTTATGCTGAATTAGGTTAGTCTAGGTTAAGGCTATAGGTTATGTTAGGTTAGGTTACGTCAGTTTAGATTAGGTTAGGTTAGGTTAGCTTAGTTAGGTCAGAGCCGTTAATACTGAGAGAGTTTGGCGTTCTTAAGGAGGTTTTGACAGCCTGGCAACAACAGCCCCTTGTCGGGCAACCGGGGGAGGACTACTTCCGTCCGCCATTTTGTGTCTTTGACTTTTAGGAACTCTATGTGATTTCGCAGGAATAAACAAGACAAAGAAGTAACGCCATTTCGTGTTATCGTGAAACCCGCTGGTCCTAGCGTGCAACAAGCTCCGCCCATTGGCCAAACTCTCTCAGTATAAACGGCTCTGGGTTAGGTCAGGCACGTAGCCAGGATCTTGTTTTGGGGAAGGGGGAGGGGGGCGGGGGGGGGGGGCGCCCATGACAAAGGGCATTATAAGGAGGAGGAGGGAGAGGAGGGTCCCAGCAAAATGGAAGATTTCGGGGGGGGGGGGGGGCCCATGCCTTCCCCCCGCCCCCCCCCCCCCCCCCCCCTGGCTATGTGCCTGGGTTAGGTTATGCCAGTTTGGTTAAGTTAGGTTAGGTTAGGCTGTGTTCGTTTCTAACTATCAAGTCACGCCTGCGGAATGGGGCCAGCTGGTATGGCAACGCTGAAAATGATAAAGCACCGGTATCTTTTTGCATTGATATTGTCTCCCCTCGTTTCTAGTAACTTTTGAGATCCATATAACGGAATTCGTTGTTGTTGTTGTTTGCCAAAAATGTTCACCTGCTGCTGGGGACCTTCCTGAAGCGCGGCTAGCGCGCTGCCGGAGACCTGTGAGCCCGGCACCACCACCAGGGTGTGCACGGAGGAGTTGCCGGGAGCGCCGGAACCGTTGCTGGGAACCCTGCTGCTGTTGCCACCGCCGCCGCCAACGCCGCCGCTTTCCGCCGGGGCGCCGCTGCGCAGAAAAAAGTACATAGCTCCCGTCAGGCATTTGTTCGCAGAAGATACTCTGATGACATATTGTGAGATGCTGTTAAAGTATACCACAGCACGGTAGAACCACTCTGTACGCCAACAACTGGTAAAGACGAGGTGATATTTCGGTGAAGGCCCGCTCACGTACTTGCGTCGTTCGGTCACGACCGAGTTTTCGCGATCTCTATTCGATGGGACAACACAGCGACAGGCTGGGGCCATTTATGAGGTGACCCTGAAACTGCAATTCCTGTCCTTTTTTTTTTTTTCTGTCGTCACCGGAGTCTCGGGTAATTCTACAATCATGAACTTACATCAGCTCACCTGCGCCCTAGCGTTTTGTTAGTTAAAGCGAGGTTTGTTGTGTTTTTTTGAGTATTTGGAACATCAAATACGCGTACTGCCTATGAGAAATGATCGTTTGTAACATCGTAAAAACAATTTTAAGGTCGAAAAGAAAATTATTATACTCGAGAATAGAGGACATATATATAAAAAAAAAGCCAAGTGTTTCACACCTAACCGACAGATGGCGCCACTGTGTTTCCTCGTCGTAAGAGGCTCCATGAGGTTTTAAGGCACTTGGCCATGAGCAGTCGCACATGTATGAACCAAACTTGAAAAAAAAAATCTTTAGGGGAGTGTGTAATACTGTAGTCACTAACAAGATGAGACCGGCAGGGCCGTCCTTTCGAACGCCTGGCCTTGAGAACGCACTCGTTGCCTTCCGCCATGCTTTACCTGCACGCGCACGCTCGAGGCTCACGAGACACCGACGCATTATCGAAGGTAGGGAGCACGCGCTGAATGTGGGACGACTGAGACTCCTTCCTTCCTGCCGTTCTCACCTCGTCAGTGGCTATGCTAGAGACATCTGGGGCCCTACTATAGCGAAGGACTGATATAACGAATAATTTGATATAGCGAAAACACTGATATACTGAGAAAATAATGAGGCACGTCCATTGGCAGAAGTTACAGGAATGACAGTTTTAGTAATGTCGGTGAAATATAACTCGAAGCAGTAAAAAATTTATTACAGACTGATAAAAAAAAAGCATTTGTAATGTGAAGGAACTTTAATGTACACTTGTAATACTGTTGCAGGCGGTATGGGACATTGAATTAGTCAAGAATTTATATAGCCATAATAGTTGATATTCAATAATATAGTTTTTTCTTCAAAATAAAATGCAGGTGTTTTTTTTATTTTTAAAGAGGATCTACTGTAACTAGCAATAAACATCATTGCTTTCCAGTCCAGGTAGAATAATCAAGCCAACATTTACATTGAAACTGCAATCTCAGTCAGATTCTTGTATCGATCTTCATGAAGAAAAAAAATCTATCAGACTTAATATGACTATACACGCTCCCAAAAACAGACCCATACCTCTACTCAGTATAATCAGTAAAACAAGGCCTCAATTTCTCAGTCTTAAATTTAAAAAAAAATGTATAAGTAGTCATTTCGTGTTTGAAAAAGCGCCTTTTCGTTAGTTTGAAAGTTAGCAGTACTCTTCAAATGAGATTTCATCTTTTCATGATCTTAACTGTTTCCAAATAAGCCTGAATCTTGGCTTAGCACGTTTTTCGGCGCTTTATAAAAAGTAATTCAATATATATATATATCAGCGCCCGTCACTTTGCGGCGTCCACCCACAGAGGTGCGTCCATCCAAGTTTTACAGGGCTCGTGCGTGGCGGCTAATCGTTCAGCGAAGCTAGAACAGCGCCATTCTCCTCGTGGATGTTTACAACGACGCAACACCGGGTATTGCCGAGGTTATTAGACGTTATTTGCGAGGAGGTAGAAATATAGAAGCGCTTCATCTAGCCTGTTTACAGAGAGCTTGATGTTTTGCCAACACGAAACCCGCGGACTGCGTGTTTACGTCACCCGCCTCGAATGAGCGCGGTGTATAAAATAGGCAAGAATCCTGCGTCGCTTTTCGATTGAGCTTCGAGTTCAACTTCAACTTTAACTTCAACTTCAACTTTATTGTTTCTCTCCAGGAGATAGGACAAGGAAGAAAAAGAAAAAAAAAGCAGACTGTTGTCGCTTGACAGAGTTTCTCCTACCCAACAACAACGAGAGAACCTTTTTTTACATACTAGAGACCCGTAGAGCAAGGTTTGCATAAGATCAAAACACACAACATTAAAAAAATATATATATATATGACGTACATCACGAAACTTTCTTGCAGGTCGGAGGTCCCATCAAGAATAGGCACAAATAATACTAGAGAAACAATGAACGAATATCCTTTCTGCTCAAACTCATCAAGTCCGTGCCCAGTCTATATGTTTTGTTTATAATATGTTAGAAGAAGTTTATAACTAACATTTTATATGTTAGAAGAAGTTTATAACTATAATGCTCTGTAATTAGAACTATATGAAGGTTTTTGAAAAGTTGTAATGTGTGAGCGTCGAACTCCGCATCGCACATAATTCGAATTATTCTCTTCCGGAGAACATGCAAGTGATGCATATTTGGTGCTTCACTTATGCTACACGAGCACTTTCCCAAAGGTGAGGCGGCGTTCGATTCCGCGGCTTCGTCTGCCAAGCGGTGCGTCATAAACACAAGCAAGTAATTAAAGTTGTCTTTACGGGTGAAGGCTTCGACTTAGCAGCCCTGTCAGATAAATTCGCGCATCACTATACGAAGCTGAACGTGCGTACAGCGACTGGTGTAAAGGTTTGTGCATAAAACACGCGGTGTTGTGCTTCTTTCAAGTAGTGACAACCTTGGGGACACCGACCAGATGGTACACCAAAAACGGTACACCGAAAAACG